GCTTTAGATCCATATTGCTCAGCTCTTCCTTGGGTGCTCTGCAAGCTACCTCTCTAGGGCAAAAAGAAAAAAAATCTCTTAATTAAAGCTTAAGTTTACCAGCATATAAAACCATACACGGGCTTGGGTATTTTTGCATATTCAGTGTCTGAATAACAGACAGTCGCTCTAACATGCATGAATGCTACTGCTACTTAAATTTAAGTCACAAATTTTGAATACAATTTTGAGTAGAAGACTCACTTTTGAGTGCTTGTGAACAAAGAGCAATTCCATCCATCTTAATGAGGACACTTTAGATTTACAAAGTGAAATATCTCCTCAGCTCTGCTGTGCTGTAGCGATGCACAAGCCTGTACTAGCTCTTTCCACAGAAGTTCACTCCAGCCTCTGTGAGTCCAGCTGAAAGAGCTCTGAAACTCTCATAGGCCACTGCCCTTCACCGTTTCATATCCCTCATATTCAAGTACCCTGAAACCTGTGGAAGCAACACCATAAACAGGTAATGATCTATGAGAGCGCTACAAGGTAGTGGGAAACACGGTGAAATCATCCCTGCTCCACCTTTATTACATGACTTGCATTAAGCAAGCGTGCCTTTATGACAGTAATACTGAAGTGCCATTGCAATTAGTGAGAGACAGATTCATTTACCAATACTCTTCCCTTTTTTAGGAAGCAAGTAAGCATCTTTGCAGCATCGCTCTCTAATAAACGTTACCAAACCCTGTAGTCTATGTTTATTCCTTTCTCAAGAAAAATTCTGCGAAGAGTTTTGTCATTAAAATTAGCCCTTCTGACTCAGAGACAAATTATCACCTTTTGGGGGGGTATCCCAAGACATCTGTACTCAGTGTATTCCTATCTTACTATTGGTACATCTCTGTTGCATGAATATTATCTTGTTTTAATCAACAAATGGCTAACAATCTAGTCAGAAGTAGCTGCAAGGCAGCTGTCCAGTGTATTAGCCAGATTAGGCAAGGATAAATACTCAGTCCCTGTGGACCAAGCCTCTGAAAGATCTGCCTCTAGATCAAGGAGCAGGGAAAGCAGAGCTAGACAGCTTGCTATTAATGTATTTTGCTGCAACACCAACCCCCACCTTTTTTTTTTCCTTCATTCATACAACTACCCGGTTATTAGCAACCACCCTCTAACGAGGGTCGTGGCGAGGCCTTTAGAAGCATCTGGGACAACAACCCCAAACTCAAAATGGTGGTGGTGGGGGGCGTCCGCCATTTTGTGCGCGCACTTCTAGTCGGGGGTTTTCAGGTGCGGGCGAGGGCTGCGAGCACCTACGTCGAACAGACG